TCAGATCAAACTCATAAATGGTGTTATTCACATGTTCTAAATTTTGTCATGATTGACACCACACAAGTATGTTGTCAAAGTACAACATTATTTGGTTTAATTAAATTAATTCAATCCCTGTATTTTTTATGAAATCATTATTAAAAATGAAAGTATGGACAACTAATAGTAAGGCAAAATGTATCTCCCTTGTTGGTGGCGGGCAAAAGATTGCTGCCTCAATAAAGCTTTTGGATCATATTCACACCCATAAAAAAGTTTGTTTGTAAATAAAGTGCACACACTTTATGAAATATATAAATCCACTAAGTTTAATCAAGATGCAAGATTAAAAGCTAAAGCATTTATTGATATACTTTTAAAATATGAAACAATACTAACTGCTCATATTTTTTTACAAATATTTATTACTTCTTCTCCTGTATTACTTTATTTACAAATCAGAGAAATGAATGTGATTCAAGCATATACAATGGTAATACATTATATTAGTGTTCTAAAAGAAGAATCCAGAAATGTTGATAAAGTAGTAGATACTACAAATTCATTGATCGACTGGGCTAATGATGAATTTATTAAAAACAATTTGGACTTAGACTATACAGTAAAAAACTGTTTTCCAGAAAAAAGATAGAAAAAAAAATCAATGTCTGGTGAAAACACACACGATGACACTCCAGAAAATGCCATCACTCGTTTTAAAACTCAGGTATTTAATGTGGTATGTGATCAGGTAGTATCAAGTTTCAATAATCATTTTAAAAGTCATGGTGATTTGTATAAAAAATTTCACTTTTGGATCCAGGTTATTTTAAGGAGAACTTGCCAGAGACTAGCTTCAGCCTGATGAGTTCAAAACCAGCAAATTTCAATACAGAAATCACTGCAGGTAAATTACATTCTGAGATGCAACATTTGATTAGAGAATGGTCCAAAATTAAACTTGTTGATGTGTTAATCAAAAATAATAACTATAATATTGATGATAAGGCCAAAGTTGAAAATGTTGATCAAGATACATATGATAAATCATAAATGTACTGGTAAAAAAGCTTGCAAAAATTACATAGCTTGTTGCTATAAATTATTATATAAATATAATTTACATTCATCTGCATATAGTTCTGTTTATCTAAAGTACAAATTTGTATTAATGCTATCATGTACACAAGTACAATGTGAAACTACATTTTCAAAATTAAAATATGTACTAAATCGACTCAGAAACTGTTTGTCTCAATCAAAAGTAGAAACATTTTTAACTGGAGAAGGATATTTTGATGTATTTGGACCATGAAAGTATTATTGATAAAGTGTCCACAAAAAGTGCTCAACTATCAGAAACACTTCATTTTTAAATTAATATTTATTAATTCTTATTTGTTAGATAAGTAATAGGTCACTATATTTATTAGTTTGATACATTTTTTTTTTTATCTAACTATAACATATTTAAGAGTATATAATATATATTAATTATATATTTATTATTTATCTATCTCAACTGCTTAATGTAATATGTATTTATGTATAAATTATATTTTATATTGTATGATATATTATGATGTTATTATTAAAATATGGATAGCTATTAAAGCTTATTTTATACAGCTCAAAAATTTGTATAAATATTAATTAATGTCTATTATGTTTTTAATCTTTATCTTATTGAAAAATGGGCCGTAAACTTTTTTAGGGCCGGTTAAAATCCTAAAACTCGGTGGGCCGATACCTTGTCTATACGGCGCTACAAATGCTCAACAAACCGAACAATAAATTAAGAGGATTCGATTCCGTGATTTTCCATTTATGTCTAACACGCGCGTGACATAGTATTTTAGACGTGTTTTTTGCTGAGCATACCAATTGATCTAATGAAGGGAAAATAATTCTAAAAACAGGTTTGAATTTGTCGTCAAGTCTACTTGAAATTGACTTCCTCAAATGTTTGATATTATCCCTCAAATTTCTAAAAATGTCATATTAAAAAAAAGTAGGTATTTAAAATTTGTTGTATTTCAATTTTCGGAGAAGTTAAAATTAAAAAATCAAAAATGCGGGAAAGTCAATTTTATAATAACACAAATATAAGTAGATATTTGAGTTGGCCACGGTTTCGAAATATCATCCTATCGTACGACACAAAGAAAGTAAAAACTGGCTATCAGATGTATGGCATTAATTTATTAATTTATATGACCGTGCGGGCGTGTGACTGGCATTATTTATGAACAACTGTTATATAATTCTATTCACCAACGATATGTTGGAGTGTTATTTCTCTAGCACTAAAAATAATAAAAACAAAAAACTATTGTTTTGATGGATAAACGTATTACAATAATGTTACAACATTCAACAACCATGATGTTAATAATAATATTAACGCGCTTACGTACAATATTGTAATGATGGATATCAATAATTATTGAAACAATGGTACCTAATGTATATTATGCACTACGTATGCCCGCTTATGCACACTTCTACCCAACAAAACCGATGGTACTGTGACATTAATATTATATCACGACACCTGGGGTCACACACGTGTCTTTTAAGTAGGTACCCATAGGTCGTCGTTACATTAGTTCATGAAAATTATAATATTATAACAACTCAAAATGCGAGTAGCTATTACATCACTACCGCCTTGGTTCATTTTGTTATAGCCGTTTTACAGTAGGTATCTACTCGATTATTATCGATTATTCATGGTAATATAATTATTTTAATCGTTCACACAAATAATTTAAGCGATAACAGTGGCCCAATGTTCTATTTATATTGAACATGCGTTTTAATAACACACTACGAAGAAAATTAACGAAGTACAATCATATTATTCGGCTCCCCCCTCTACCGCTATTGGTAATATTATGTAAGTATTATACATTAATTTATACACTTCCGACGAGTTTTTTTAACTAAAATTATAGGGCTGGTGGTATTTAAAATTTGGAAACAGGTATCCGGTATTTGTTGACCATCGATATCTACGGTATTACCGAAACAGATAACCTGCACACGGCAAATACCGGATCTCGGTGAATTTATTAGTGTTTACATGTTTCCAACCAAGGATAGGGCTATTATATTATAATGTCATTGTGATTTAAGGCGGGTTTCCACTATAATCGGATGCTGTGATTGGTTGTTTACGATCAGTTACCACACGGTTAACCATGATACCGTGTTGTTGGACATAGCTGAACATTTTTCGTGTACACGGCAAACGTGTATAGTGGAAACCCACCTTTATGATTATATAAAAATAATAAATGTAGGTACACGGTATTTTCGGTAACAACGGTAATTACGGAGTCAAGGTATACCGGTATTCTAAAATCCAAAAATACCGGTCATCACCGGTATACCGAAAAAATAGCCAGCCCTAGTCGTATAATTTTTTTTCTTTTGTAGGTACACTTCATTTGAAAACAGGAAACTTAATTAATTAATATACCTAGTTTTGAAAATGTAATATTGGCGGTCCGCTTTTCTATTACACTATGTAACACACACTAACGATCTCTTACTACAGAAACATGTATATGACAATTGTAAAATTGCCTACACTGAACTCCTTAAAAATGGTTGAATCCCAGTCACAAGATAATTTATATTTTTGAACAACCCATTTTGGAAAACTGGCAGCTCTAGTCATCGTCTTTCCCACCCTTCACCCACCACCACCCAAGGGATTAAACAATTGTTGCAGTAGACTCTCGTCACAACCAGTCTTGCCATGATGTATTCCATACAGATGTTTTTACGACCGCCGCTAGAATACCCGGCATGCACAAAGCACAAACATATCAAATTGTATATTTTATCTACAAGCACTCGAACACGAAAAGGCAACGACATATCAATTATTAAAGAGCAACGCGGTCATACACGCACACGTCGTACACATATGTACATTGCATAACCAACAAAAAACATGATAGATAACCTTAGGCTCTCAGTTCACTTAAACGTTCACTTCGATAACATAACCCTCTTTGATATACACTCGTATAGTCGTATATACTTCACATAAATACAGCAACAAAAGCGGCATCCTATGTTCTCTTTCTCTTACATTCACGTCCTCTCTCACTCTCTCTTTCTCTCTCTTATCTGTCACTGTCTCTCTCTTTCTCTTACATTCACGTCCTCTCTCACTCTCTCTCTCTCTCTTTCTCTCTCTTATCTGTCACTGTCTCTCTCTCTCTCTCTCTCTCTCTCGTTCTAAACCTGTATAACTTTACAAAAACTCGCGTAACATTAAATATATACTTAAACATTTTAAATAAATTACAGTACAGTATAATTCTTATACCATCGAAATATGTTGTCAAGTAAAACGACGACAGTTTAACGAAAGCGGTTTCTTATTAAAATATAATAGTGGTGTCGGTATATCTAATTTTGAACCCGTCGATAATATGTATATAACAAATGTCTACATGATGTTATATTATGATTTATGGGTAACCTGTATTAAAATAATTTATGATCATCCATTATATTTTTATAAACCAGAAAATGTTTATGTCCATCAATAAGCCAAAACAACCTTAATATTTAAATACATTTTTGCTAGAATACTATAGAATAGGTACGAATACTAAAAACACTTAACAAGTAGTTATAAGTACAAATGTTAAGATTATACCATAATATTATAATGAGTAATGGCGATGATAATAATAATAAAATAATTATAATTATAATAACGATGATTTAATTATTATAAGATTATTATAACAAAAATAGCTCGAAACTTTTAATCGCTCTAAACAGATAGGTAGTAACGATGATACCTAATTATTAAGATTATTATTATTATTTATGAGATATTTAATGATTATACAATTATTATGTGTAAGGGAGACCCAGCCCGTTTTTACGATCAGAAATTTCGACAAACACAAGTAACAAACAACAAGCAATATAATTGTAAGTACCTATATTGTGATAATGTTAAAATTATATGGAAGTTTTTTACTCACTGAACTGTAGGAACGCCTGTCGTCCGGTTCATCGGCGTCAGACATTTCGGACAACCCATCAGACGACAATTCGGATGTTGACATTTGGATACCCATCTTAACGTTGGGAAATAACGGTGTTTAATATTAAAACGGTGTAGAGAGCGACGGATACTAAGAGTACTAACTAGTGACTAGCAACTATAATAACTACATGCTGGCGGCCGGGCGTGCGTCCGCCACCGGTGCGTACTGCTTTATGATGTATGAACCGGGGGTCGTCGGGATGGCAACGGCGGTTCGAAGGTTCGAGAATTGGACGTCACAGTACCGGCAGCGCAAGCGCGTCGCAACGCTCGTACCGATCGATCGAGCAGCTCTACAGTGTAGGCAACCAGCGGATTAAAAAACGGACGAGATAACGTTCCAACGACCGCGTACGGTGTTCGTGCACGACGTCGTTGCCAACGCCCCAAGCTAAAATAACACGAGGTTACACTGCCAGGCCCCCGGTGTTCCTCTCTGCCTGCACCACCTAAACAATACATCCCACCGAACTGCTCACCCGTCCATCGATGCCGAAACTCCGATTTCGTTGTACACCATCACCTGCCGGCTGCCGGCAACTCGTAACGGTCGTATACACGCGTACCTACCTGTCGGAACGGCGGGCGGTATAGCGACAGCTGCGCGAGACGACCATTATTTCATATCTCGTACACGCAGTAATGCAGTATAGTACCTATATCCCTTATCCCACAACTAAGTTATAGTGCTACACTTATGTGTAAGTATACATATATGTACCCACCCGCCACCGCCACACACACCCTACTCATAAAGGTTTTTGAAGATAATTCTAGAACCAACGATAAAGCGACGGTTGCCGCCCGGTAAACATCGAGTTCCTTCGGCAACGAAGTTATTATCGTTGTCTATACATAAATGTATAGACCTGTCACTACCACACACCCTCCGTTAACAAAATGTTCAGAGAATATTCTAAAACGAACAAACATGGCCGACCGCCGTAATTATTGAATTCGGTCCGCGCAGAAGAGGCAAAACCTAACTTCAAAATTGTCGGAGAATATACTAGAGCAAACGACACTGGCACACTGCTATAAAGGAAATGTAAAACTCAATCCATGACATGATATACATAAAATATATCAATATAATATAACACATTCAGGCACTCTTTAACAACGTTATCGAATAATATTCTAGAACAGACGGCCAGAGTGGCAAACATAATATCAGTTATTACGCAATACGCTGAGCTTAAGGATCATCGATGCAGGTCATCAGCATAAACGAGTGTTTATTAATTATGCCCAATCTAATTTTTATATCAAAATGACAGTGATTATTATAGTTTACCATACTGATATAATAATGGAATGTCAATTGTCATTTTACAGAAAAAATAATATACTGTATACCACTTTCATGGCGTAATTACAAATCAATTTTTGTTTTATTATTTTTATCTTTTATCAACAATTTAAAATGTATAAATTAAGTTAAACATTGTTAAATACATGTACATAAATAAATGCTCGTAAATGTATCAGAATAAAAATATAAAAAAGCCATGTAAGAAACTGGATGATATGGCTTTAAATCTAATAACAAGTCAATCACTTTAATATTAAAAACAACAGTGTAAAACGAATTCTTCTGAAAGTTAAATTTGTTGGGTTATGCGTTAGTAGAACGGCAACAACATAGATACATAGATTCAATCTGCATTCAGCAGAACCAATTTTGAAAGGTTGCCCTTAATATTAGGTATATCGAGTGAATTTACCTATTATCAAATGGGTTAAAGGTATAAGAATATTTGTAAGAGCATTTCATAGGCTTTTTTTGATATTTTAATTTGAAATTGAGTTTTGAAAATTTTAAAACTGGTTATACTCAACATAAATTTGATATGTTGTAGGTAACCTACGTGTGTATAAAAAGCAATACGTGCGAGTCACTGAGTCGGCGTTCGCCGCACAGACGCTGCGCGGCACGTTACTCCTTGGGTATAGCTATTATTAACAAATATAATATTATATTAATTATACTATCTAGCCACTTAGCATCACTGTTAAATCATTATGTGCAAAAAAATATGTGTTGAATAATTATCAATTACCAATGAAATAATACCAATATACCAATTATTTTTAGTATAGAAATCTGAAATCTCATTACAGTATAAAAGATCATATCAAAATTTAAAAATAGAATTAAATTTCAACTCATATACATTTAATAAGTTTTAAATAAAAATAAGGCATGATCATGTAAACATAATTCCGAAAAATTTGAAAATTTTACCTAAAACGATCTATAGTTGCTTTCACGAAAAGTAGCTGATGACTTTGGCTGACATTGAATTCATGCCGCTTCTTACCACGTAAACAGTAGTTAACATTATTTCGTACAATGTTGCTACGGAGAGAGCGACTATTGTGATATCAGTTCACGAAATAATGAAAACTACTGTTTACAGAGGCGTATAATAAATTAATTCAAGGTCAGCTACGTTCTGTGAAAGCTACAACTATAGTATAGTATTCATTATTTTAAGAAATTGTAAACGGTTTATTTCACTACACAATCGAGCATTTAAAACTTGAATATTATTCTTGCCCGTGAAATGATTTTAAATTGTGTTTGAGGTCAAGTTAGGTTAAATAACTCGATAAATAAATAAATCGAAATTATTTTTATTCCCCTTGGTATTCGATATATTGAGACTCGATTGTATTATAATGTTATGTATATAAATAACTTATATATATTTTATAAAAACCATATGATTTTAATTAAAAATCGAATTTTTTCTTTATCGTTCAATAGAATATTTATAATCAAAAAAAACGGCTAAAGATTCATACTAATAAATTAAAGTCAGGAACTCAAAATACGGTGATAAATACACACAACTTTTTATAATTTAAAAAATTACTGAAATACATAATAAACACAATTTTTTATGCTTATAATATGCAGTGTTTACTATTTACGATTCAACATTAGCATACAAAAATGGGCAAACGTGAAAAAAATGTTTGCAATACACAAGAAAATATAATTATTTTTCATTATTTAATTTAGTTACTGATTTCTAATTTTCAATATTATATTATATTATATCATTACTAATTATTCATTAGTCATAACTCGCTCATTAGTGAGTCATTTGCCATTACATAACATTTACTTTCAATAATTTAGTTTCATTAGTTTAAGTTTTTCGTTTTATAAAATCAAACATAATAAAACTGCTTCAAAGAATTTTTCAATGTAATCAGTAATCACGTTAAGTGGAACCCGTTGTTCATTCGGTCAAAAATGGCCGCCTTCACTCACTCGCCGTAAAACGTGTCGAACGAAAGCAGGAACACGGTAAACACTAAATTCCATTTGATATAGCATTATAATATACGTATAGATACATATGCCCCTACCGCCGTCACCCGTCATTCTGGTACAATGTTTTAAAAGAATTGTCTACAACGAACGGCCGCCTGGTAAATATTGGTTCCTAAAATGTCGCACCCTCGGTAAAGAATTTTAGAAGAATAATATAACGACCGAACAGCTGAATTCCATTAGTAATACATTTTATGTGTATTGAAAGCCCCCTGCCGTCTCACATCCGCCGTACAATGTTACTAAAGAATATTATAATACAGTCAACTCGCGATATAACGAATATCGATATAACGAAAATCTTGATATAACGAATAAAACTACCGGTCCCTTGAAAATATCGTGGTATAATATAATTTCGATGTAACGAACTTTCGATATAACGAATTTTTTTCTCGGTCCCTTGAAGTTCGTTATATCGCGAGTTGACTGTATATTGTAAAACGTTAAAACAGCCGCCCGCCCGCCAGAGTAAGAAAACTACATATGTGCAACAAATATTTTTTCGATTTCTTCTTTTTTTCTCTACGTTAGATGAACATAATATATTATTGAGAAAATAATATTTAATACTTATAACAATATAATATTATTGTGCAGCTATGAACAGACCAAAACGAGTTCCCTGCAGAATTATAATTAGTAATGACGCTAAAAAAATAATAATGAAACTGACTACTTCATATTTCTAAAACATGATTTGTTTTACTTCTAAAAATTAAAAGAAATATGGAGTACCCAGTGGCGTACATACGGGGGGGGGTTTCGGGTTCAAACCCCCCCCAGGACCAAAAAAAAAAATAAAAAAAATAATGTGATATTATTGATGAATTTCTTATTATTAATCAACCGTGTATACACAAATATACGTCATAATAATATGACTATTGAGTAAACACTAAACACTATACTTAACCAACAACGAAAAAAGATTTCATAACGAAATCATGGGTGCCGTATAATATGGTATATCAATCAAAATAGACATTATTTTGATCGTACACAGTCAGTTAGTTGCGTGCGGATATAAATACATATTAATATTGTCTTTATCTCGATCGACTCATTATAAACACACAAGACTGGGCGAGTTAAGTTTTTTTTTTTTTTAACTCAGTTAAGTTAATATGCATACACATATAGATATAGTATATATTGTATTTTTAAGTACAGAAGTTACCTATCACATAAGTAATAAGTAATAAATAATAATAAATAAGTATTATATATTTTAGTTGTCTTTCAAACAGATATTATTTGTGTACGATGAGTAGGTATTTTTAATTTTAATGTTTTAACTATCAACGTGAATACTGTTCATAATAATTTTTAATAATAATTAATAATCTCACAAAACCGTAAAATCATAAAATCAATAGGTAATTGATTTATTTATTTTTGTTTATTTTTAGATTTTAGTGTCGGCAAACTATATCATAATATTATGTCTATATTATTGAAATTTTGACATGGCAACAAAATAGACTTAAATAATGAAATGTAAAAAAATGAAAAACAAAATAAATTAACTTACAAATAAAAAAATTAATTCGTTAATTTAACGTTGATTAAAAAATAAATTTAGTAAATTAGTAGTTAAGTTAAAAATTATTATTATCACATCATAATCATTATCATTCGATTTCGATATATTTTAGGTTTTTAAGGTAAAATAAATAGTA